GTGATTTGTGCTTGTTTTGCAGATACAGTACATGGAAATTTGGAGTCATTGAGTCGACCATGAACTTCTCTGTATACCAAAGTATTCTACATCTGACTTGGCTGAAATTGGGTCATGTAGCAGGACAATGATCACAAACACAGCAGTAAATCTCTAACTGAATGACTGAAAAATAAAAATAAAAAATCCGGGTGTTGCAATGACCTAGTGAAAGTCTAGACGTCAAACCAATTGAAATGTTCTGCATAAGCAGATGCTCACAAACTTCGATGAACTAAAACAACTTTGTAAACACAAGCGGGCCAAAATTCCTCTGCAACAACGTGAGAGTCTAATAAAGTCAAACGAAAACTTATTAATTAGAGTTGTTGTTATAAAGGTGCTTCTGCAAGCTATTGAATCACTTTGTTTTCATAGGATGGCAAAGAGTTCTGTGAAGACTCTTTTTCATGTGTATGTTAAGAAAACAGGGCATGAAGTGACATCTACAAGTTCAATCTTGTGATTTACATACCTGGATAATTATGCATTTGTTGAAAAAAGTGTTATAAATATCAGTTACAACTTTATACTTGCCTTCCAAATAATGTTTATAGATGACTTACAGAGTCTTTATTACCTGCTTAAAAAGTATGATAAACATTAGTTGCAACCTTACTGTAACCTTTCAGAAAATGTTAATAGATGCTCAGCAGATCAATTTTTAGCTCACAGTATTCATTTACCATTTCTTAAAATGGTAATTATAAAGTACTGTCAAGAATTTACTAATAAAACCTCATCCTATTGGGTTAAGCTTGTACCTTAAATCCACCTGTACCAGTGTGTATGGCTTTTCACAGTAATAGATCGTGGGTAAATTAAAAAATGAGTTCTTTGGTGGTCATTGAAATAGACTGGGATATATGTGACGCTTTCTAATCATACTGCCCACTCAAAGTGCTATTTGCTACTATGTTTCACATTTAATCATACATTCATACAATATTTTATTCGTCACAGTTGTAATACTTGATCTACGTCTCATCCATAGCCAGTTTGCCTAAC